ATTTCAAACAGCCTGATTTTTTTTTCAAATAATCTGAATCGTTTTAAGTAGTCTAATTCGGTTCGAATAATTCAACTTGCTCCAAATAGCCCGATTTTTTCGAATAATTCGACTTGTTTCAAATACCCGACTTTTTCAAATAATCTGAATCGTTTTGAATAGTCCAATTCGTTTCGAATAATTCGAACAACTTATTTCAAACAGCCCGATTTTTTTCAAATAATCTGAATCGTTTTAAGTAGTCCAATTCGTTTCGAATAATTCAACTTGTTTCAGGTGGCCTGGTTTTTTCAAATAATTTGATGTAAAATAATTCAAAGAAGTCGAGTAGAAGTCCGATATTTCTCAGGCGGAAAATGGCGGATTCGTGGGCGAGCAATGTCCGAGATTTAATTAAAACTTTTTCATTTTCGAGACACGATGTTAGGCTGTGACTTGTGAATCGATTAGTGATGTGAGCCGTTTGATGACGGTAAGAAAACTTGAAGGGGATTGAATTGAAAAATAATAATCATAGAGAAATAGAATATTATAGGGGACGCGGTTCATAATCGTACCTGTTATTCTTGCTTCCCGTGAAATCTTTGAAGCTCGCTGTCTTGTCGGGCAGAATGTAAGGATTGGTGACGTCCGAGAGGAAAGCCTGTTTCGAGAAGCCGAGTTGCAATCTTCCGTCCGTACCGATCGTCACGTTGTTCAGATTCTGTAAACAACGTTCCACGGCTATGCTGTCGCCCATCTGGATCATGGCACAGCCTTCTTTCGTCTTCAAGAACTTCACCTGTTACAAAATCGTGAACGTTCGTTCGTTAAGTACGTTTTCTCTTTCAATTCAAAGAATTTACTAAATGACGAATATTTTCTAAACAGAAGAGAGATTACTTTATGACCCCCTTTGTGATCTGCCTTTTTACGTAAGTGTAAAAATCAAAAAATATCACCCATGAGATTACGAGATTCGTCATGAAACCATATTCCCTCTTACGATCGTTAGCTTAACACTAGAACTATTAAAATGGTCAAAATTTGTAATTTTCCTAACAATGATCAATTTATAATTTTCCTACAATAAAATTTTCCTAAATTTTATCACATTTATAGCAATATATTTTTAAATAATCTGAATAGAGTGACTTTTAAGAAAATGTATCAACAGAAGAGCTCAGAGTTCTTTCTTTTGCATCTTGCGCTTTAATTTCTTTCTTACGAATATTATATTATACTATACTATATAGAGTATATTATATATACTTTAATTTATATTATATTTTAATATTATTATACTTTAATTTATATTATATTTTAATATTATTATACATTAATTTATATTATACTTTAATCGTCGGTAGTTAGCCCCTTGCGCTGAAATGACGCACGTCCCAATTTTGTCCCAAATCGCAATATTTTCCCAATTTTAAGTATATTTAAATGTAACCCAGACAAAACAAATGACAAGTTTGTTACTTCTTAATCGTTTCTATCCAGTGATATCGTAACGACGAGTTCCAAAGAAAAAAAAGCGACGAATTATTGTATACGTATTCGGTCACTCGTTATGGTCCGCGAACCAGTTGCCAACGCAAGGGGGTTATAGTCTTTAATGTCGAGGCCCAGAGATCGTACCTTCGTTACGTTTCCATAGAGGCAGAACAAGTTGAACAGCTTGTCCGTGTTGACTTTATCCGGCTGGAGCCCGTAGACCATCATGACGGAGCCCTGCGTGCTCGATGGCGGTGTCTGTCCCAATGTGGGCACGTAACCTGGCCGAGGTGGCGTGGGATGTAACGGCTCCCGGCTGCCGAAATCGCTCTTAATGCCATAACGCTCGACGTACGGCTCCGCGTACGTCGCCGGCCCGTTGAAATTCTCCTCGTAACGATCATGGCCAGCACCTGGGGGAAAAGTAACCTGTGGCGTGGATCCTACGAACAAAAGCAACACGGGCAAAATGGCGAGGATATTCGATGTCCTTTTCTCACTGGCGCTGGACGATTCGGAACATTTCGGAACTGCGCGAAATTACACGAAAGGTGTGCAAGAGCATGCCTGCTGCCGCGCGGCTCGTTCTGTATATCGCGTGTCCCGTAACCGTGTTCAACCGGGTACGCTAATTATGGAAATCGAGCGACTGTTGCATCCCTATTAATCACGCGACACGAGGAAATATTAATCGTTCCTGCTGAATGCTCGTTTAACGCGTCGGCGATCAAATGGACGGAGGGAAACCTTTTTACGCTACGTTGCGCCGCTTCGACTGCTGTTTAGACGGTTTTTTTCTTTTTCGCTGTGGTGTAAATTTTAGTTGCGGATTCCCGTCGATTCGGGACGCGGTTCGATAAACGTAATTAGATTCACGCTTGCGGAATTGCGGGTGATCACGCGTTTACGGTTTAAAGATCATGAAGAAAATGTCGAAGACACGTAATTACAGAGAAAATGTAGGGAAATATTTGAAGCAGAGAATGAAATATTTAAAGGCAGAGAATGAGCTCCTACGAAACAGAGAATGAATTTGTACGAAATATTTAAAGATCCGCGGATTAAAGGGAAAATGTACACGCATGATTATAGAGAAAATGTATGGAAATAATTGAAGCAGAGAATGAAATATTTAAAGGCAGAGAATAAGCTCCTATGAAATAGAGAATGAATTTGTACGAAATATTTAAAGATCTGCAAGAGCGGATTATAGAGAAAACGTGCACGCATGATTACAAAGAAAATAATTTGAGAGAAAAAAGCAAAAACGTTCGACAACGAAAGTGTTTGCAATCTTTACAATGCTTAATTTTCAATCAACAAAGTACAAAGTACATTGACGAAGATCTCAATGTCTTATTCGTATCTTCACTTCCTCTTTACTCTCTTCGTTTCAGCACTTCGATGGATAAAACTGGAAGATGTTAATCGGATTTCAAACGTTGATTTGATAGACGAGTAGGGTAGGTCGATTTCCACCGATCGAGTTGGCCGATCGAATGCGAGGATCCTTCGTTATCGAAGATTCTCGTATTGGCTGCCATTCTTCAAGCGAACGCCGCGATTCCTCCGATTGGGTTTCGTTTCACGGGTTCTAGTTCCGATGGCTGAATCGCGACATAACTCGGCTACAATTACATCATCGATTTTCTGTCAAAATTCCTGCGGTCTCTGTCACGAGTGGCCGGCAATAACTTTCGAGGAAACCGTAACGGAAACGTGTCCCTCTGCCGTCGATGCCATAAATTATGCAATTTGCGCCGCGAGAGTGAATATTGTCGCGTTCACCTGCGAAAGCAATCCACGCTGATACTAGAAATGAGAAGATTAAATGTATATGTACATACAGAAGATGTACATAACTGAACATAACTGAAAGACGCGAATTTGTGTCTCTCGTCCACAATTGTGTTAAATTCTCTAAAGTTTGGGACACCTTATATATACAGGGTGTTTCGCAATTTGTGGGACCCACTTCCGCAGCTGGTTGTACGCCTAAAAAAAAGTCATATGTTCTATCTGTCTTCGTTTATGAGATATGAATGAATTTTATAAACAGAGCAAACTCTAGTAAGCTAGGTTTTACCAGGGATGGTATATTCAATATTTATAACAATCATAATTAGGATGATGAAAATCCACACGTTATTGTGCATTCAAGACATCAACACCAGTTTAGTTTAAACGTATGGGCAGGAATAATTGATAAATGTTTAACTGGACCTTTTTTTCTTGATGGGAAACTAACAGGCACAAAGTATGTACATTGATTTTTTGATCACATGTTTACACGAAATATTAGAGGAAGTTCCAGTCGATATTAGATTATTCGTATGCGGTTTATGCATGATGGAGCTTCGCCGCATTTTAGCCGAGTGACTAGGCAATTTTTAAATCAACACTTTGCAAATAAATGGATTGGTCGTGGAGATCATATTGCATGGCCTGCTCGTTCTCCGGATTTGAATCCGTTAGATTTTCATTTGTGGGGACATTTAAAATCTATTGTATACGCAACATCGATTGAAAATGCTGAAATACTACGAAACAGAATAGAGCATGGCTTCCGAGAAATTCGAGAAACACCAGGAACGATAGAGAGAGTAATCAGATGAATGACAAGAGGCGTGCAGGCTTGTCTTCAAATGCAAGGTGGTCATTTCGAGCATCTTTTGTAAAAGTAATTAAAACAGAAAATTCGTTATATCTCGTAAACGAAGACAGATAGGACATATATTTGTATGACTTGTTTTCATTATTTTTACAATCAGCTCCCGAAGTGAGTGCCATAAGTTACGAAACACCCTGTACATGCGAGTTTCGTTTCAAATTGTACTTCTCTTTCTTTAAATTATTGATATTCGCGCGAAACGAAAAAAAAATTATCAAGATTGGTCGGATGTAAAAAAATTTAAAGAAAGGGAAGATAAAACGCGCAGTGCAAACGATCAAACTTTCAACCCGGTGACCCGATCGTTCGAAAAAAAAAGAAAAAAAAAAAAAAAATAAGCCATTACGACACATTTTTCTGGCCTAATAATTCCGATAACGAACTATTCACCAGCCGATGGTGTTCGTTCGCCAATCGAATGAGAGAATTACAGTTGGAAAAGTTCTGGCCGGGATTACAACTATACCAATTACACGAATTCAGCGTTTTCGCGCGCCATCGGCGCCGCGAGCGGAAAGTTTCGATACGCGGCCGGTCCGTCTCGCGTTCGATGGCCCATCCCGTTTTCTCAATTAGTTCGCTTAATTTGACCATTAAAGAGAGGAACGAAGAGAGAGAGAGGGGGGTGGAGGGAGGGAGAGAGAGAGAGAGACAAACTTACCGTATGGCTGAGGCGCGGCACCGTATCTGGGCTCTGCCAAAAGGGGAGCAGGCCTTCCATTTCCTGTCGCGTCGTTTTTGTGCGCGCCCGATCCTGCGACAGAAAAGAGAATTCTCAATTAGCTACACGTACTTCCATTCTTTCCCCTGGTATTTTTTTTTTTTTTTTTGCCCGGCAGAAAGCGATCGATCGATGTCCTAATAAATATTTAAGAAAATCGTGCATTCGACACCGTGAGTTTAATTAATTTAACTGCAAACATCTTTTTTTTCACCACTGTTAAATAATAAATATCATTTTTTATTATTCATCAACGTAATCTTTCATTTTTCAATGAACTTTATAATTATATTTTAATTATCGTGAACTTAATCGATCATTTCACTGACAATTTTCACGGCGAAAAGGCCAAGGCGAATGCCTATAAACGGCGACGTGCTCCGTCTTGTTCTTGAATTTTTCTCTGAGGGCTCTGGGCGAGCAACAATCGGAAAATTCATTTACTCGAGGTATCGAGGTTCTCCCCGGTGCATCAGTGCGATCTGATTCTACCAACGAAATTGCACGAAATTGAATCTACGATCGAGTCTCCTCGAGCGGAGCGACGGCATCGAATGAATCTTGAATAAGTTATCGAAGCTAACGGACAGACGACCCACCCGGCTTCCACCTAGCGCACGCCCCTCCCCGGGTTAATCAATTTCCACGGCGATTCCCTTTTGGAGATGTCAGGTCGTCAGAAATTCGCGAAACACAGCGTTGCACTAGCAACACCGGATTCTGCCACTGTCAAACCCAGTTTCCGACGGCTCGTTGCCACCGGTTTCAAATTGGACAGTCAAAGATCCTGGTGGATCCCGGACAAGCGAGATTTTGACAGTTCGAGGACAGATTCTCCAACAGAATCCCGAGTGAAACGTAAACGAGAACGTAAACGGCTGGTCTCTGAGGATTAGCGAGGATCCAAAGTGGTTGCAAAGGTTCGGGATGAAACTCTGATTCCTCGGGGGGGGGGTCGATCAGAGGAAGGTTTCGCCAAAAATTCCAAGAGCTTGCGGCCCTCGAGGATTTAAAGGTAGCTATAGCCTCCCGTGGACAAACTTCCCGTTGATTACGGTTAGAATATCCCCGAGGGACTCGACTGCCTTTATTATGACGGAGAACTGTTTAATTTTCCTCGCGATCCGGTGAACTATGAACTTTCTCGACGAAGAAGATAAATTTCACAATGAGGAAGGTATATACTTGGATCGGTTCGAAGAACAATACAAATACTTTCGTTATTTATCACAGTCTTGGATAATCACAGTACATAAAGTAAACGCCAACACTAGAACTATCAGTTTTCAATAATCTTCAATAATTGATTAGAATTGAGGCAATATACAACAGTACAAAGATTCATATCGATAATTCTAGCGTTGAAAGATTACAAAATTAATACCCGACAGGTGCTCCAAAATGGCGCCACTTCCGGTCTCTCTCTCTCTCTCTCTCTCTCTCTCTCTCCCCCTTTCTTTCTCTCTCTCCACGACAGAGGGCTCACTGGTCGATTGTTTTCCTTCAAACTTCGTCTGTCGTCTGTCGCTTCGGGATATACAATCTCACGGCCTGTTCACCGAAACCGAGCGCGTACAATCGGTCTATTATATTAAACCGCATTATGTGTGCAGAGTTTGGCCACGCGGGTGTGAGACGGGGCAGCGGTGTATCAAGAGGATGCAATGGCTTGCCGTAATCTGCGCGCATACTGTGTATATCGATTCCGAATATTCGATACTCGTCATCGATGACGGCGCATCTTCATTCGACGAGGAGGGAATTTTCGCCATCCGCGAGGAGGTGTTCCGTCGCGCTGATTTCGTTGATTCCCGGATGGAGGGAAGCGGTCGCCTCTTCTTCACCATTCCTTTCCGCGTTTTCCTCTTCCTTTGTGATTTCCTGAGAATCTGTATCCGACGTGTCGTAAATGTCGAAGCCGACACATTCGCTTCCAGCGTATGTCGATGCTGAGCGACGATGACACGTCGAAATTGTTGTCGTTTTATAGGAAAAAAATAATCCTCGACGGTGCTTGATTCCTCGAGGTTTCCGAGTCTAACAGCTCGAACGTTACTCTTGTGGAAGAGCAAAGTAGAATGTACACGTGTGTAAGTATGAGACGAAAGAATTTGTAGACAAGTAAGAGAAAATAGAAGATAGAAAGTAAGAAGAAAAAGAAAGACAGAGAGAGAGAGAGAGAGAGAGAGAGTTTATATAGAGAAGGAAGGAGAAGGTTTGCCGTCGTATCAAACAAAAGTGGAAATCGCTCGGCTTCTTTAAGTTCGCGCTATATAAACATCAATCGGACGTCTCGGAAGTTTATAGCGCTGTTAACCCGCCACAACTGCCGGTACTGATTTCAATTTATAAACTTTTACTCCGATATTATACTTCGCCCGTAATTTCCCCGTTATCTCGCGGGATTTATACCTCCGATGAAAAGAAATTACGTCATTTCGAACTTTATCCAAGCGTTCGACGCGGTTCTTTGTGTTAAGCGGCTGGTTTCTTCGTCAAAATGAACTACGGGATATCCACTATCCAACGTTGCGAACGCCACTTACAGAACGCAGTTACAGATTAAATTCAAGGGACCATGCTCATCGTACGTGCCTCCTTTACCACCAAGAGGATTTAACTCGCGTTTATCCCCAAGCGAGACCTTCGTAAACTGCAAGTAGCGACCGCAGTGGATAAGCGTTCGCAAATTCCGTTCTCGATAAATTCGATCACGATACACCACTGGTCAAGGAATTGCACGACCAAATCGTTCGGTTATCAGCTCGAGAAAGCGAACTATTTTTATCTGCTGAATAAATATAATCGCCCGGTTAGGTTATTGTGAGTTTATTTCGAACGTTCACGCTGTAAGTGATGGACGAGATGGAAGATCATGCAGGGCAATGATGGTGTGAAAATTTGCGTTAATATTAGAACCGTTCGATAGTCTTGCTCAAATGATTTTTTTTTTTTTTTTTTGGTGGACATTTCTATATGTTCGTAATCGATTCGAATGATCTTTTGCACAGGTAAGAAGCTGATTTATCTCCTACATTATATACTTTTCTATACACAATGACGCTGAAGATTTAGAATTTTGCAAGAGAAATTATGTAACAATTTCGAAGTCACTACATTCATTTCGTTCTAAAATGTTTTTACACCATGCAACGTAAGTGAAAATACTTTTCTTCTCGAAAATCCGATAAATCGTCGTAATGGATAAAAACACGGAAAGTTTTTTTCTACGACCGAATCTACATTTGGAGATACAAGCCACTTTACAACGATCCCCGAAAATTTGATGTACGATTTTCTTTTCATCACTTTATTTCGAACTTTGAATATTATAACTTATTTAAAATTCAAGAAACCGTCACATCCACTTTCGCCGGATATTCAAAGTTCAATAAAATCGTACATCAAGTTTTCGAAAGTCCTGTCACAAAGGGAAGGCTTCAATCCCCAAATCCATCACAAACAGATTTCTCCACATGCACTTTCAAGAAGAAAAATATCTTCACTTTGTCATCTTGAACTAAAATGATTTGACGATTTTTTTTTTTTTTTTTACAAAGTTGTTTAAATTATTAGTGGAAGTTTATTATTTCCAAGAAAGAACGAGTAGTTTCTAAGTAAACAACGAAATCCGATTGTTAAATGATGTAATAAAATTTCGCACAATATGTTACGAATCTGATTTCGATGGATCACGATCGTTCGTCACAATTTCACGAATCCCCCGCCGTTTGATTCCGATAGCCTCTCGTTCGTTTCCTACGTTCGAACTCATTTTCCAAACGATCGACTCTGCCGATTTAAGGACGTTATTACCTGCTGGCTACCAGAGGAAACGTACGTTGCACGAATCTCGCGTGGCGCGGTGTCGTATCGATCCTATCCTTTCCGTCGAGAACTTTCAGCTGGAACGCGTCATGGTTACCGACGGCTAACTTCCGGCGAGTCCGTGAAAAGTTGCGGCGCGCGCGTTCACCACCTCAGTGGGGGGAAAGAAAAAAAGAAAAAATTAAAAAGCCAGAGGAAAAAATATCACAAGACACGTGTTTTGAATAACTGACGAGATTTAAGTTGATCAAGTTGATTTAAGTTGAGGATTAAGTACATTAATAACGAAGGGGACAGGGGTTGAACTTTGTTCGCGCGCCGGCTTGTTCGATGGAGGAAGATCGAAAATGAGATGAAGCTGCACGAACGAATGATCTGACAACTTTGATGGATGATTTCGCAAAATGAGAGCGTTGCAAAACTTTCGAGAAACGAAACGTTATACGCGAATAAGCAGAGAGAAGTTTCGACACTTTGGAATCGAGCGCACATTATTGCGTGAAATATTTACGAATCGGTTGAAGAAACGATGAGAAATTTAAATAGCACGTATCTGTTGGAGAAAATTCGACGTCACTTTCTTTTCATTGAAGGCAGATATTCTCTTAGGCGTGTCGCGTGGCAGAGAGAGAGAGAGAAATTTCGCGAAAATGTTTCGGCTGCCCGGAGAAATTCTACGCTCGGAGAGGCGAGCATATTTTAATAACGGAGCCTACAGAAACATCGAAGCAAATTTAGGCAAGCTGCAGAAACCTGGCACAACCCGGGTCATATAGAGGCCCTTACAAGTCCATGAAACCCGATATTGGCACTCGTAGGTCTCGCAGAGAACCTTGGAGATTGCGATTTTGAATATCGTGTCCAACGGACAAACGGCTATTGCCGGCGATCGGCGAAGCCACCCCCCTTCGATTCGATTCGATTCGATTCGATTCGATTCGATTCGATTCGATTGAGAACACGAGCGGTTCGTGTTACCGTTGCGCTAGATTTTCAGACTGTTCTGCGCCGCTCGTGTTGTTCGTTTCACGCGTGTACCAAAAATATCCTACGTAGTTTGCTGGAAAAGTGTTTGAAAGTTTACGAAACAAAAGAAAAAAAAAAAAAAAAGGAAAAGATTTATTAAATAGGTAATTTTGGCAAAAAAGAGCAACGATCAAATATTATCCTTTCATTTTCAACTCAGTTTTAGTTGAGATCGAGTT